TCCTCTACTTTCAGTAGTACGGGCCTATACTACCTTCCACATCTATCCGTACTTTCCTCAAGAGCTGTCTCTACTCCACCAAGTCACTACTACTGCTACTAATCTCTGCTACTCTCATCCTAGGCTTACCCTAGGGGAAATCTCTGACTCAAACCAGTCCTCAGCTGCTGAAGGCCTCCTTGTAATGCCAATTAGCCATTACCTGAATACCATCACATGTGACGAGGCTTAGATAATCCTTCGAGTAAAAGACTCGTCCCCATGACGGTTAGACTCAAACAAGAGGTGCGTAGTAGGGCCAAATACAACACTCTGAGATTATTCAACCCTGATCACATGTGACGTGACGTATTCACCTAACGACTAACTCCCATTACTCAGAGTCCGACAATGCACAAAGCAAGCAACATTCAGACACAGGAACTACTCAAGCAAATCTATTCTCATAATGAGAATCTATATTAGCATAGAACGCTAAGGTCATGCTATCAGGCATAAATTAAACATGCTATCCTACTACTATCTACTTAGTACTAGCATGCAATTCTCATAAAGATGAAACACATATAAAAGGCAAAAAAGGCATCATCGCTTGATCCTTAGTCCTATTCTAGCATGCTGTTCTACTGAAACTGATAATCATAACATAAACTTGTATGGGTAATTCGGGAGTACTTACTTGAGCTTGGCTGATCGCATGCACCACACCTTTTTCTCGTTTTCAAAAACTCTTTTCTTTTTAAGTTTCTTTTTAAAAAATTATTTCGAAAACATTTATCTTTTGAAAATCTTTTTACTATTTCCTTAGTTTGAGTCCAGTCACACCCGTAAGTGTGCTTAAATCCATCAAACTAAGGCTCTGATACAACTTGAAACGACCCAAAATACGACCCAAAAATTTTTATTTTAATTTTACTAAAATCACATCAACAATGTCGTACATAATAAAACCATAGAATGAGTAAATCAAAAGTCATAACAAATGTATCAAAATAACAACTGTATTAATCATGTCAAATATCCAAGTAAAACTCCCAGGATAAAACTGAAGCGGTGGTGTGTGCGACGCCATCTGTCGCACCCCCAAAACCGGTGAACGGCGGAAACGTTCTGGGGTGGAGGACGTCATGTACAGTATCACAACAATGCAAGTAGAAAACAAGCAACAACATCATCCATTGCATTAATAATATAATTTCATACAAGTGTGTTCTGTCAAGTTATGTAGACACCAAGAATATACATCAAAAATAAAAGAGGAGTCTTGAACGAGCTCCGTCTTCTCAAAAGTCCGGCTCTGGTACCTGTCTATTGGCGACCTGAGAATACAAGTTATTTTGAAAGAGTTTATCAGCTTTAGAGCTGGTGAGTTCATAAGTATACTAGTGTCTGAGTTTGTATGAAAGCATTTGTAAGATGTTTTGTAGGATGTATTGTGTATGCTTGTAAAGGTTTTGTGTTTGTTCGATCTACTCTAGAATGCCCTATGTTTCCTACTAAAAGTAGCCTTCTACCAAGGCATCTAGTGTCTTTGTGTGTATCTCTTGTAAAAGTGTGTATTTTCCCAATTCCGACTATCATTAACCAAAAATATAGTTTCTACATTACCGTGTATCGTGTGAATATCACAAAGTAAAATGTAAAGGGAAAATGTTTTAGTACTGTAACGTAGTTTTAAGTAAACTACTGCTATACTAACTACCTTAAGCAAATTGTATATTTTAAGGTAACATGTGATCGGCCTATATCTTGCTACCGACTCAATAGTAAAGTGACAATGTAAGATGCCACAAAAATGACGTTTGTCACCCGTAGACTTGCAAGTCCCACTGTAGCGAGCAACAAGGTGTAGGATAGTCAATCTAGTATAGATCTATACACAAACTCATAAGCTCCCCAATTAAGGAGATTCTGATACAAAAATAGTCATGGCAGGTAGTGCCCTGCCCTGCTTAATGGCTCACGTAACTGTGTTGATGTATATATAATGTATATGTAATGTATATGTGTGCTAGCTGTATTGTGCGCTCTTTCTCTATCTAGCCTGTATGTTTGTTTCTCGTCATAATGTGTATTATTTGTTTCTCCTCACTCTTTTTCATGTTTGATTCTCATCATAGTATGTATTGACTCATGTATGAACTGACTCATTGTAGGTTTCATTGTTCTAGTAATAGTATCTTCCTAAACTACCCCTATGGTAGTTTACTAGTAAAGTATGAACATGTCTGTATGCCCTTGCTACCCAAGGGCATGGAATTGAATGAAAGAAATAACCTTTTATATCTATATACATATACATAAGATATAACTAGGATTCAAACGACCTTCGGACAACTAACCTTGATACCCTAAGACCACATCAAACAAGAACAGGAAGCAGGGTAGACTAGTAGTCCTATGTCCTTTCAATCCTACTTATATAACTATATTTATACAGATACACAGAATATAAGTTTAAAAGAGTTTAAGTAAAAGTATTTGACCATTTAAGGAGTTCGTAAGACAATTTGAGGTAAAACAGTTTGATAAATAGTTTGGAAAGTAAGCAAACCATTTGCTTGGTAGTCATTAATAACATGTGATTGATATAATAACTATAATTGTTCAACTTGTATTCCCCCCCCCCCCATAAAAGCATTTAAAAACATTTCAAAGGTTATTTTAGGGGTATGAACTCACCTGTAGTGAGTGGTTCTGATGACAATGTTGGATCTGTTGCTAAGTATCAAGTGGTGACTTGAGTATACACGCGAATCCTATTTAGCATATATTGGCACATATATGAATATAATTAGTGTTATGAACAACTAATTAACGAATTGGGACCACCTTTGGGACTAGTAAACACTTATATTGAAGTGTTACAACCATTAATGATTGTACGAAGGGTTAAAAAGGCTATACAAGAGAGTGTATGGCCAAAATACACACTATAAGTTTGTGTGCGGCCTGGTGTGCTGCCAGAAACATGGTGTTCTTGGTATTCTTGGTGAAAGATGTTATCTTTCCGGATGATACTTGAGAGGATTTTCGAGTCCTAGCTTTGCAAGCGTGTAAGAAATGATCAAAATGACCAAGGATAGTACATATAGGAGGGTGTGTGCGGTTGGGGGTGTGTGTGGTTGGCCTGTGTGCAGCCGCACACACTAGTTTTGGTGTGTATGGCTCGTTTTTCCAATGCTACAACCAAAATAACCCATCCTCCGACACGTATCTCAATTATACTAAGCTTTAAGCACTCTTTTAGACCCAAAACTTCATTATAAAATAGCAAAATGAAGCTAACTTTGATATAAAAAAAGAATGTAGGCTAGAAATTTCGGGTTGTCACACCATCAACCCGAGCTCTTCCTTTTGCTAGCAGAAGTACCTAAAACCAAAACTAAAATTGTAAGCACGAGACTTAGTGAGCTCCCCCAAACTACCACATACCATACAATAACACATAAAAAACTATTGGGCCTTGCCTAATGCATCGGACCGGAGTCCGGAAACTGCATCAGACCGAAGTTCGGAACTAACCAGGGCCTTGTCCTCTGCATCAGACCGAAGTCCGAAACTAAATGGGACCTTATCCCCTGGACCAAAGTCCGGAACTAACTGCATCAGACTAAAATCCAGAACTGACTGGGACCTTGCCCCCTGCATCGGACCGAAGTCAGGAAACTGACTGAGCATAACATAACATAGCGTAAACATATCAACTAGAATAAACACATATACTGCATACTACGAAGTCCGGAACACATAACACAAAGACATGCTTGAATCACAAAGACATCAAGCACACTGAACTACTCCATCGGACCAAAGTCCAGAACTACTGCTAACTAGACGGGCCGGCATTGTGGTCGTAGACCCGTTCCAACTGGAAGGAAAACTCACCTTGTAATGATGGCTGCTGAAACGCTAACTCTAAAACCGGCTGACTGCTGCTCCAAAACTGTATGGCTACAAATCCCGAAAACACTAGATCAGGTACTGATAAATACCCTTAGGGTAAAATAACTATTTTACCCCTGGTCAGAGTCAACTCCCTGGTCAAAGTCAACTTTCAGTTGACCGAACTCGTCGAGTCAGGGCGTAGACTCGCCGAGTCCCTCCATCACTAGATTTGACTCTAACTCACCGAGTCCCTTCCCCATTCACTGATTCACCCTAAACTCTCAAATTGGGGAAAAACGGGGACTCGTGACTCGACTCGTCGAGTCTGAAAAACAAATCGCCGAGTCCCAAGCATGCAGATTCCATACAGTCGATTGTAATCAATTTCAGAGCATCTAACTCGTAGATCTAAGATCCTAGGACTATCGGAACACGTAAAGTTGCTAACTTTACATGTAACCAAGAAGTAATGAAGCTATATCACTCAAACTATACTATTATGGGGTTAACAAGCCAAAACAAAGGCATGGCTACTAAAAAGGCGATCTCCTTGAGCTCCTTGAGCCCAAGAGAGGCTAGATCTGAAGTATAACTCAATCATAAGGCTTTATCACAAAGGATTTGGGGTGTTTGAGCTTAATACTAACAATTTGGGGACAAACTAGATCTTTTAGATCAATAAACAAGATGGAGACTTTTTACCAGAAAAGATGACCACAAAGGAGTGTGTTCTGGATCTACTTCTTCTTCCTTGAGCTCTTCAGCCTTCTGATTCTTCTACTTGCTCCAAAATGCACCAAAAGTTCCTTCACAAGGAAAAAAATCACTCACACACTCTTCAAGGAGGCTAGGGTTTGATAAGAAATGTTCTGAGGGTGATGGAGGCCAGGTTGGGGCGCATAAATTTGTTTAAATAAGGTGCAAACCATTAAAATTAGGGCTTCATCTTGACAGGCGGACTCGCCGAGTCCCAGCATATGGACTCGTCGAGTCCCAGCATATGGACTCGTCGAATAGCCAACTTAAATTGCGTGATCATCCCATCTCTACTCGATGAGTCGGGCTGCAGACTCGTCGAGTACCCCTTAAGAAATGAAAATACTTTATTTAAATTACAACCAGAAATGGGGCGTTACATAAGAAGATGGTTGTTCGGATGTCATTCCAATATTAACATGTGTGCCCACATCAGATGTGTTGACAGGGATGCCCGAAGTCCTAGTCTCCTCCGAAACAGATTCGACGATCAGAACTTTCGGCGGAGTAGATATTGATGATGTAGTAGGATTGGTTGAATCAGTAAAGATAGGTGAGGATAGAGGGATTGAGATATGAGGAAGAGATATTACAACAAAACTCGTTGGTGGTAAATGAGGGGTGGATGATATCGGAATTGTGGAGGTAATGTGCGAGGGTGTCATTGGTAAGGTTGGTGGAGTAACAGGTGGTGATGGTGGAGTAGTTGTGACATTCAGAAATGGTCGTCGTAGAATAGTGTAAAAAATGTCAGAAGTGGGAATAGAGGAAGATGGTGGAAAAGTTACCTTCAAAATATTTTCTGTAGGGGCTAGTTTAGAAGTTGCAGTTGTATCTGCCTCTTCATTTCGGAGTGTGTCGTCCTCTTAAACTTCAGTAACATTTGTTTCTTTGGATTCTTCTTGAATAACCGGAGATGGAGATCTCAGGATCTGTGTTGGTTTCTTTGCCCTCTTATTAACTTTAAAACTTTCTGAAGTGGCTGCATTTGCTTTCCTTTTTCCTCCCCTATGCGGGTTATCACCTTCATCAATTATCTTTTGTAATTCCTCGGGGATGGAATGAACCCCTGAAACAGGAAATTTCCTATAATAACTAATTATAGAGTTGTCTAGTAGTACCTTATTCAACATAACTTCAGGAATTGCGCCAAAAAAATTGAAGTTCCTCGGATCCAACATAACAAATATAGTCATCTAAAGAATTGGAATTTCAGCCATGAGGGAGTATTTCTGTCATACCCCTGAACCAGACAGCGGAAACGTCCGGGGGCTTTAGCATGACTCCACTGATGTAGTATTATTACAGAGCATATAACTGAAACATAACATCATCATCATTAAACATGTAATATAACAACATTCATTGTTTACATTGAGTATTGTATTGAATATTACATGCCAAAATAGTCAGAGTATGATGAAACAAAATACCCATTAGTTTGTTCCGCTCAACCAGCTTCAACGGTTTCCTGAGAATACAAGTTAATTTAAAAAGGGCAACATAAAAATGTTGGTGAATTCATAATCATGTTTGTGAAAATGATTTGGATTATTTGTAAAACCCATAAAATCTGATATTTTCTGTAAACAATTTATTATGTTTGTGTCAGATCTCGTATTAATGCATGTGTGTTATTGTTTATTAGAATGTATAAAGATAATGCAGAAAACGTGAAGAGAATGCCCCCAGAAAACCCGATGTTATCTATAATAGAGAATGCTGCCGTACCAACCCTCGAGGTTGAGTACCAGTACATGTATGCTCATGAGTAATCCAAAGAGAAAAGGAAATGTCCCCATACAACCCGATGCTGTCCGTAAAAGAGAATGTTACCGTACCAACCCTCAAGGTTGAGTACCAGTACATGTATGTTCCTGATTAATCCAAAGAGAAAAGAAAGAATGGTCTTCCGTAAATTTATAAGTTTAATTCCTCTAAGTGAATTGTTACAACCATACATGATAATGACAATTTCGCCTGTCTTGATGTCTGGAAGATGCCGACTTGTTTAAGGTACGGTTTGTCAACCTAGACTGGACTAGTCTAACTGTAGCGAACAACTCAGGTGTGGGGCGTCACCCCTGTATAGATTTATACACAAACTCGCGATCTCCATTTAAGAGACTATGGTTATAACTACAGACTACGATCGTACACTCGATAGGTGTCAACCGACAAAACTCACTAGATCCTTAATCGAATTTTCATGATGAAAAAAGTATAAAACTCATTCGAGGCCCAATGAACCATGTAAGTGAACCACTAAGGCATTGCCAAACATGTAAGTCATTTCAATGCCTAATAGGAATGAGATTTATATAACATCAGCCCGAAATATATGTAAAAGGACAACTAAGGCCCATTTCACATGTAAGGTATTTACAGACCTAAATAGCACGTAAATAGTATCCAGGATCTGTCGCACATGTTAATAGGTAAATGAGGCCCAATAAACATACAAATAGTATTTAGGACCCATCAAACATATAAATGGGCCACTGCCTAATAACATGAAAATGGCAAAATTAGCCCGTTTATTATTGTATTGCTAGTTTTAGCCAAATTATTTACCAAGATAGCATAAAAAGCCCACTTATTGTAAAAATGACCTTCTTAGCCCAATAAGCCAAAAATTTACAGTTAAGGCCCAATCTTAGTAAAAATAACACTTTAGTCCCTATTTTGTTCAAAATTGGTATTTATGGCTAGTGTTTGGTAAAAATAACATTTTAAACCCATTTTTGTCAAAAAATATCATTTTTTGCTTGATTTTTGTGAAAATATACATTTTTCTGGTTTTTGAATTTTTTTACCCGGTTGTTGGAAAATTTGTAGAAAAATCATCATAAGTCGAAATTTGGATCTGTAAACTCTGGAAGTTTGGAAATTTTGTCTACTTTGTTCGAATGTTTTCTCATAATTTTTAATGGCCTCAAAAAAGTGTGAAATTGCTCATCTTCATAGGTTGGTCCGATATTATTTCAAATATGATAGGCAGTTTTGTAAAATTCACCAAAAATTGTACAAAAATCGTATGAAAATGTGAGAGTAGTCATTTTAAAGGTATTCTCCCCAAAAAAAAGTAAAAATAGAAAATAGGGGGTATGAACTCACCTTGAAGTTTGTATTCATTTTTTGAGTGAAGAAATAAGATGAGGTGGTTTTCAGCCTTGAATGCTTCCTAGGAAGCATGATCACGAAATGAAGCCATGTAAGGGAGTGTTCTTAGCTTAATTATGGAAATTAGTTACTTAAGTATGATGACAACTTACTAAGGATGATGATCTAGATGAGAACCTCTTGAAGACACACACAAAATCTCGAAAATTTAGAGGTGGAAGGAGGAGTTCTTGAGAGATTTTTTAGTGGAAATGAGATGGTGAGGGAGGATGGTTTGGCCGAGAGTGGAAGAAGAGAAAAGAGATAGTTTAAGATAAGCTAGTTTCCTTGAGACATGGGATTGGTTAATTACGTGGAGGGTAATTAGCATGGAAGACCACAAGGTAAATTTGAGGTGGCACCATTTAACTCCATGCACAATTTTTTTTTCATGCTGGGCCGATATTGGGCTAAGATAAATGAGGATGAAGTGGTTTGGTCCCATCCATGGCTTTTCTCAAATGTTCAGAAGCCCAATAATAATTTTTGGCCCATTGGGCCCTTATGGATGTTTACGACCTAATGAAATCCACTTGAAAGTGTTTATGGCCCATTAGGGTAAATGGAATCATTTATGGCCCAAAAGGCCCATTAGATATAAAATAAACCATTTTAGGCCCACTTGGCCCAAAATGTTAAAGTTTTATGAATGTGGGTCCAATTAGAACTCAATTAGGGTTTCTAGGCTCAAAATAGTCGAATTGAATTCCTATTTGGTCCATTAGGCCCAATAAGGGGATCCTAGTCCATACTGAACTTGAACCGGGATTTCTAGGGTTTTCAAATCATGGATTGACTATTTCGAATGTTTTGTATAGAGTTTTGAACTTCACATGTGATCCTTGATTCAGTTTCTTGTCATTGAATAACCATAGTGCATAGTATCAAACTAGAGTTACAGGTGTCACAAGAAATGATGTTTACAAGAGTATGAAATTTCCTAGCAAAAAGGCTAGTTGTGACAATTTCATTAGTAGAACCTTGAATTGAGTTAGATCTTGATTCACAGCTACAGACCAGAAACGAGCACACAAAATTTCTATGTGTCATGAACATGAAGTGGTGGTTTGGATAAATTGATTCCAGGTTACAGATCCATAGTCGAAGTTGATTCGATTGCACATACCATAGATTAAGGTATAGAAGACCTTACTGGCACTGTGAGAGCTTGAAACCCTTTCCAATAAACTCTTGAACAAAAGGGTAAATAACCCATTCTACAGTGGCGATAAAAAAAGACTTTTTGAACTTCGAGTGCAAGGAGATGTCACCAGTGTACCCCATCTGGAAGAACATCCCAGTGATAGAGATTGCAGGAATTAATTCAGGGTTGACACTGATCTCTGGTGTAATAAGCCCTAGAAGCTTGTAGAAATGGGGCATTGAAATTGATGTTTTATGGTTGGAAACCTCAAAGTAAATACCGTCGTCTAATTTGTTATAGAGAGTAGCAGAGAAGGCTTTATAAAGATGAATCAGTGGAACTTCTTCAACCATTGTTAATCCATTCACCAGTGATGAGAACCTGAGACATTCAATCATGGGTCTGAGTAGGGCATTGTAACAAAAAGCATCGAGATCGAGGATCATGTTCTGGTTTGACTTAACAGTCAACGTGATGATTGAAGCTGACTGGTCGATGACGGAAACTTGCTCAGAGCGAGAGCATTTTTTGCTTTGAAAATTCGAGAATTGTGTTTAAGGTGAGAGAAAATGAACCGTTTTAGAGCCTTTTATGCGGTATATGATCAGTAGAGATAGAAACCACCGTTTCACGGTGCTGCATGCTGAAAAATCATCCAATAAAATCATGCCAGCTCATCAATGACTATCAGAAACTGTTACAACAACTGTAACATCAGGGATTTCCCAGGTGTTAATATTATTTATTTTATTGAATAATGGGTTGTTTTAGTTTGGACCAGGATAGTTGGGCTACAAGAATTAGGCTGAGAAGGGCGTTACGCAGGGCGTACCATGCAAGGTACGCTTATCGTACTGAAGAGAATTGGATGGGGAGGCCATGCAAGTACGCCCAGCGTACCAAAGGGTACGCGGAACGTACGTGTGCAGGTCCAAAACCCTAAAGTTTAGTGTTTGATCCTTATTTAAAGGACCTTATGTTCTTGGACCAGCCTCCCTATCATCCTTAAGCAGCCACCTTGAAAACACTAACCCCCTTTTGTGTAATTTCGCTATTTGAGAACTTCTTTGTGTGATTTTGGTGTTTATGAAGAAAAGGAAGTTGAAGAAGGAGCAAGGATTAAAAAGGAGCTTGTAGATCTAGAAGATTGGCACCATTTCTGGCTCATTTGAGGTATCAAGCTTCAAACTTGATCATTGTATGTTTAGATTTGATGTTGGGGTGTTTTATGCCACTTTTGGACTCCATTGTTTAGGCTTCTTGCATCTTGATGATTTCAGACCATAAGAGCTGTCCTTTTGGGCTCTTAGAGGCACTAAGATTCATAAAAATCAGACCTTGATGGTTAAGTCACAACCATGCAAGTGTTTGATGGTCATAAAGCTTGTTAAAGGACCAAAATCATGTTTTGACCCCCAACCATACATGTAAGCACATAAACTTGGTGACTTTATTGTTGGATTAGTGTCTGAGTTCATAACTATTTTGGTATGTACTTGACCCGATGGTGCATGGTCCTTTTGGATTGCCTTCACCAAAGCAACTTGATAGGATGAATTATGGAGAGAGAGAATTAATTATGATTTATTAATATATTATGAGAATAATATATTAAAGGAGAAATCATATTGGTTAATTAATATTAGTCAATAATTAATTAAGAATTAATTTTGTGGCTAAAAGACATTAATTAAACTTAAGGGACTAGAACTGTCAATTGTATGATAGTTGAATATTGGGCTAATGGACTCCATATTAGAGGGGTGGATGAACTCTATGGGGAAACCCATTGGAAATCGTCCTAGGCATCTAAGAAGGGAGTCCATGGGTTGCTTAGGGCCTAAGCAGTCAAATTAGGGTTTCCTTGTTAGATAACCCTAATAGCCTCACTATTTAAGGATCCCTAGAGCACCAAAAACGTGGCCAAGAGTTTCCTTAGGGTTTCCACAAGTTTTTTGGTGCCTCCTCTTTTATCATTCTTCATCCTCTTGCTCTTGGTGTTTGTGAGCCATTAGAGGAGTGACACTTGTGACTCTAAGCTTTCTGAAGCCATTACAAGGAGGATTTGAGTTGTTATTACTATATAACAACAAAATGTATGTATTCTAATCTTCTTGGTGAATTTCGAAAATAGTATGACTCATTAGGGTAGTATTATGTGTTCATACTGTTGTGTAACTAATAGTAAAACATAGATCCAATTCTAGGCACTACTAGAAAAACAACCTTTTACGACGCTCATTGCGCGTCGTAAAAGGCTCAGACAATGCGCAAATGCACGTTAAGGAAGGCTCTGTCATAAAGAGAGACGACGCTCTTTTGCACATCGTCTATAGACGACGCGCACTTACGATGCTCATTTTCGACGCGCAATTACGACGCGCGTTTACGACACGCAATGCGTATCAAGGAAGGCCCTGTCATAAAGAAAGACGACATGCATTCGCATGCCGTTACCTTACGACACGCGTGTTAATGATACGCAATGTGTATCAAGAAAGACCCTGTCAAGAAAGGCAATGTCATAAATAAAGATGACACACATTTTTGCGTATCATAATTTTAAAAGTTTAAAAAGAAATATTATTTATAGATTTACTTATTTTCAAATTAAATTTGTATTTAATGTTTCATAATAGAAAATAAAATATCATATACAAAAAATAGAGTCAATTGCATAAATTTAATGTCATACAAATAATCGTTCCATGGAAAGATAAAACAAATCAATAGAAGTTGTTACAAAAATTTACAAACAAATTAGATACAAAAATACAATCCATTGCCCCTTTGCTTATTCAAGATCAAGCTGCAAGTAGCTAACTAATGTGTACAAATTCACCCTTGTTTCTAATCATTATCTGAAATACTTTACAAACATAATTCATCCATAGTACCTGAACTATAGTTAGTTGCAGCCTTGTTTCTTCTTCTTCTGAACTCATCTCTTGCAACCATTGCTCTAAGCCTACTCTGAATAGATACAACAACTCCTTGTCAAAACATGTACAGCCAGTTTCAATCAAGACACTTAATCAATCAAAAACTTCAACAATTAATTTATTTCCTTATTAAAGTTAGTTCTTTTATAGCTATATGTTTGAAGATATAAAGAAAAAAAATGTTAAAGGAGAATAAGGAAATACTGAATGGTAGAACCTCATTACTGTTATGAACACAATTATTCAAACCAGACTGCCAAATTCTAACAACTTCTCCAACTGTTCTATTTTCAATCCTGTCAAGCATAATTTTTTCACAAGTAAGGCAGAAGCATTGAAATAAATAAAAGTGGGCTTCTTGAATTATCCTTCATTTTGATAAATATACAAAGTTATATGATTTGTGTGTACCTAATGGGGCCATATCTTGGTCCACGGTGGAGTACAACAATGAAACGTGATCCCTCTTCATAACCTCGAATTCCAGTCCTTCAAATTTCTGGAGTACCATCTTCCTCCTTCAAAACAAGAAATATGGTGTCTTCCTTCTCAATTTGAACAGGAAATGACAATTTTGTGCCTTCATCACGGATCTATTAGATAAACAATATGTAAGGAAAATATCACTATAATAAATAGATAAAAATTGTATAATGAAAGAAAGACACACACACACACACGAAGGACCCCTAATCACCTGTAGCTTGCTAGGTTGGTCAGTCTCATGGTAAACAAAAAAGACTCATACATCAGATGCTCGCAACATTCTCGGTTCATCTTCGCTGCCTAGCTTCAAATATATATCTTAACCAAGTCTATTGGTGAATGTCATAAATGGACGCACACTGATTACCTAAAGTTGACAATGAAAAAGTTTAAGTTCTAGACAAAAATATAAACACATAGGAGACAAATGAAGATCATAAGTTCTGATTACCTAAATTGTTTTACATTCTTGAAATCTGCTTAGAAAACACAATAAATTGTTTGTCCAAAAACATCTTAAGAATAAAGAATAGAGGAAACAAACAGCAGGGGTATTTTCATCCAACAATAGTGTAAAAATCTACTTAGAAAACACAACATGAAGCAAAACCCCAAACTTTTTACACTTGGACAGGTAAATTCATGAAATAATCACAATATCACATAGATACAGTAGGAAAATCCATATGATCACATTCCATGGCTGTTGAATTACTTTAATAATAAAAATCAGTAATAGTTATTTCACCCCCGGGATAGCCAGATCCAAACTCCCTATGAATGTTTCCAGCAGTTTCATCAAAGACCCAATTTCTCAATGCTCGTTCCCTTGTCACCTGTATCATCAAATGGGTGATATTGTAATAACAGTGAGATCTATTTTGAAATACAACAAGTCGTCATTGAGTAATTGGAAATAAAATTCATATACCTTCGCGGCTTATGGGTACAACAACAACCAAGTTCCATAAATTTTTGCAATCTAAGTGGGAGACGTGATACCCAAATAAGGAATTGTCTCAAAGCCATGCACATGCAATCACTTTTTCCAATACATTGCAAGCTAATCACATTATGTTTTTTTGGTAATAATATCTTAAAGTTCCAAAATTTTTTGCCTAGGCCCCTTGTATGGTCATCACTTAGACATAATATTTTGATGTCCTTAATTAACGGCTTAAAATATTTTTAATTGATTTTGTGAAAGTTAGAAAAACTCCGTATTGCAAAGATCATAATTAAACACCCTGCTCCATAGATGTTAGTATTGCAAAGCTCATAGTATCAGCAGCTACAAGATTCAGCCCATCACCCCCTGCTCTGCTGGAAATCATGAAGACAAATGCAGAGTCGGAATCAACTTCGGAATTGGAATTTCCAATTCCGGACTTTCGGCTAAAACTCCGTATTGCAACAAACCGCTCTTCAGCTCTGATGGATCCATCAGGCTGCTCATAAGGGTATTTTCTCAACTCCATATAGTCCTGTATTTCAAAATTTTCCAAAAAAGTTTAAGTTTAAATAATAACAGATGGATATACATAAGCACAGCTGGCAGTTTTTTTTATGAAAAGATAAGGAAGTAAACCTGTAAGACATCAAGTGTATGTGTCATCTATGCAAACAGAAGAACACGGTGTCCAAACGTATGTAGCTTCTGAAGTAGCTGGTCTAAGACTACCAGTTTGCCACTTGCCTGAAAGAAATCATAAAGATTTCAAATTTATTACTAACATTTTGTATGATTTTATAAATAAATAGAGATGATATATTTTTTATACCTGAACCAAGTGTTCACCCTCTTCATGTGGTTCTGGCTCTATACCAGCAAAGAGGTGAGGATGACTACCTGCTTTACGTAGTTGTATTACCTGCATTAACACAAGCAATCAAATACTACTTCTCAAGTAATTTATATTTTTGGTCCCTATACTATATTGTGTTCTTTGAATACGGTCCAAAATGAAACTTTTTTTTTTCATTTTAAGTCCCTAATGCAATGATTTATAACACTTTTTGTCCAGTCATCAAATTTATGAAAAATGACTAATTTACCCTTGTCTAATTTTGGTAAAAAAAACTAACAAGCCATGAAAAAATGTTTACCTACTAAATGTTCATGATAGTAAGCATAGAAGGAGAGATGTTGGCTTACAATATTCTCCAAGGATTGATGACTACAAGTTCCAGAAGACAATGCTAGAAGCTTAGGAAGCTCTTTCCTTAGTATTGACATATACACCTTCTTCTGCAAGGTCACCATTGGAGACATCCTGATAAAACAAAATGGAATTTGGTAACAAATTTTTTTATCTAAAGTAATAATAAGGGTATTTCGGTCTTTCAATAAAAAGGAGGAATGGAATTGACAACGAAACAAACACGCACCATAACCGAATTAAAAGGTATATGAGAAAAGGTCGAACAATCCCCTACTGATGGTGGGCTGAACCTTATTGCAGGTGCACCAAGTTTCCGATCAAATTCAGGCATGCCAGGGACAACAGTGTCCGGAAAAGTTAGATCAGGGGTGTTATGGTCATTTACCGGTTTTCCACGTTCAACAACTAAGTCAGCTTCTTCATGGAGATTTCTATCCACCCCTGCAACAGTGCCAACAAAGTAGACTACAATGTCCACAAACATTTGAACCTAAGACCTCATTTAGGTGGTGTCTCGTATATGATGGAATCTGGAAAGTAATGTAATGGTTCGTTAATTTTAATTAAAATTATGTACATAATTAAGTAATTGTATTTACATAAAATATATAAAACTCATTTTATTTCATTCCTTCCTTTTTCCATTCCATGATTCCATTGGTTATTGGTGTTTAGCTGGTGTTCTTGATGGTTGGAATGAAATCCTTTATGCTCAAGTTTTGCCCAAACAATAGCAAAAGCTGTAAAGTACGTGTAAATTAAATATGAATTACACCTTTTTTCATTTTTTTACAGAATATAGAAGATAGAAGATAAATAATATTGATATAATTCTTTTTCTTATAATTTTCATTTTTTTTTCATTTTTAGATGATGATTAATCTGTAAAGAAAAAACTTTCCAGTTATACAAAATACGTTTTACCTAGATTTGGGTCCACATCTATATTCCAAGAACTCCACATGTCATGGCTAAAGTAATCTTTCTGAAAAAAAAAATTAACAAAAAGAAAGTGCCCCTACCATCATCGCTACCACCACTGGTGTTTTCAAAAAAATTTAAACTACAAAAACACAACAATCAAAATTTAACATGATCCGGAAGAAGATAATGCTTAATAGAACACAACTTGCCAATGAGGTCATACTGTCGACATTCAAAAATAATAATTGGTCACAAAATATTGTTAAAATAACTAAAAAGAACAACTATATTTGAAAAGTAAGGAGTCAAAATTGGTTTGTTGATAATGTAAATCCATATTTGAAGTAAGAAGCACCGTGTTGTTGGGGCCCCATGACTTGCGACTCCCCCCAATACTGATCCAAATTTGTTTTTGAAGTAAGAAGCACTATGCATAAAGAACATAACCATGCCCATTCCTCGTTTCATACTCTTCCAAAAATCAAATATGACAAGGAAAACATAGGCAACTTGATACATCAAAGGTGCATCAAGTATAAAAAAAGAATAGGGAAACTGATATTAACACTGTCATATAGTAGTTTGGTGCACTGAACACTGTCACCACATTCTTGTCCTAATATCAATCATAAAATTATTAATAAGCCTAATAATTATCATTAAAGAGGGATAGAGGGATGGAGGGCTAATTAAGTAAATATACATGACACCAGTTGAAACCCTCCATGAAAAGTTGGTGAGCTCTAGAGATGGGAGTAAGCCCATTTGTATAGTTGATGTGAGACGTGATGTCTTGTCCGAATGTGTACCCAGCCCCATGTGGAGAGAACCCCTACCCACATCTATCATCTGGATCCGACCTTAACAGATCACACATTGTTCCTTCATGTGGGACCTACAAATTCTTAAGCACACCAATTTAAGTATTACAATTTAAGTATCACTATCATCTAAGATTGTAGGATCCAATGTTTATGATATGTGTATACTAACTGGATGGTGCTTTTTTATAGCAAACATGGAGTCCCAACGACCTGTTGTATTAGTTCTAAGTGGAAAATCAAAAAGAGAGAAGGAATTTGCAAGGTCTTTAAAAGAAAGCTCATCCCTTAAAATCACAAATGATGTAAAGTTCCAGACCTATTTGCATTCTGAGATGGAAAAGCAATTGGAAAAAGATGAATTCAACATTGATACTTACATGGATCCTGAAATCACTAAAGAAGGGCATTGGTCCTTCAGAAAAAGATGAAAAAGCTGACTACTGAAGAAGGGCTTCGTGGATAAAATTGCAATCAAGCCCTAAATTGAATAGTTCTCCATTTAAAGAAAACACAGTATAGGGTAGAGTTGATAATTTGGAAGAAAAAAGACGAAGAACAGAAGAATATGAGGTCAAAGTAACAGAATGGAATAAATAAAGGAAAATTCTTACCTTTTTCTTCGAACGGAGGGTCAATTAACTTTCAATTTTTGGTGTTAGGGCTTAGCGATTGTAAGAGGAAGAAGACAGACGTACTCTCCTAGATGATGGTTGTATGCGCTTGATTTTGCGAAGACGAGTTAAAGGAAAGAACTAGGGTTTTCTTGTTGTAAGTCAGGGGAGAAGCCAAGAAAGTAATTAGAGGAGAAGGGGGGAATCGCTCAAGAAGAAAAATAGGATGTATTCATAAGATTGAAGGGAAAATTGGTTTAGAAGCTGGTCAAACGTAATGAAATGTTGAAACATTTGGAAACAACTTCTCCCAAATGGTTGGAGAAGATGGTCGAAGATAGTTGGCGGTGTGAGATTGGAGGTTGGGTGGTGGTGCGATGCTGCTATGAAGACCAACGCCCTAGGGCTTTTTCTTGCTAATCGGAAGAGGCGGGGTGTTTAATTTTTGGGATCCAATTTAGGCAGGTGAAATCCCGCTTAAAATGCGTGTTTCATTAAAAAATTATAAAGCGACACTCTTAGATGAGACACATTTTATGAAAGGTGCCCTCCTCATTTTTTTTTTTCTTTTCTGACACTAATTTTAGGGCACGCACAAATGCGGTGCCCTCTATCCTTCATATTTTGTAAAACTGACATTATTTTTTAGGGCACGTACAAATGCGTATCGTCTATCAGCGCGTCATTGTTTGCGCGTCATTAAAGGGCTTTTTTCTAGTAGTGAGGGTTGCATGCACACATAGGATTGTTTGTATAAAACCCATCAGTGGTATCAAAGCCTTTGGTTAACTTGTTTTCAATCAGTATTATACAATTGTATGAACTTGACATATTAGGGTTTATTGTCAATAAACTCTAGGAGGCTAGAATTTTCGAGATTAGGGCTTCCAAACCCTAATTTGCGAAAATTTGAACAAGATTTTAAATCCTTTCCTTAAGCCCCAAGATTTCAAAATCTAGGGTTTGGAAAACCCAATGATTTTCGAAATTAGCCTCCTCCCCAAGATAAGATCCTAAATTTTAGGGATTTGGATTATCCCACATCTTGTAATTATCCTTTAATAGTTAAATATGGTAATTAAAGATTTTGGGATATCTCATCCCTTATTTTCGAAATCTATGTAGAAGTTTAAGGGATTAGGATATCTTAAATGTATAAATGGTAATTATCCTCATGATTTAGAAAATCCCTTATGATTTAATAATTAAAATTAATAGTCTAATTCAAGATAATTATTAAATCGAGAGTTTTAATATTTAAAATTTTAATTTAAATGTCTTAAATTCGAAAATTTTAAGTGAGATTAAAACCTAATTGTTTTGAAAAGTTTCAAAACTTGCCCTCAAGTTTTGGAATTTAAATTGTTGATTAAAAGTTAATTTTGAAAGTCTAAATTCCAAAACCCTAATTTTGAAAAGTTCAAATTAAACCCTTATGGTTTTATTAAATTAATTAAGTGTATAATTAAAAGAGAGTTAATAAATCCATAATGATTTTGGTTAATTAAAAGTATAATTTAAACCACCTTGTATTTAAAAGTGTAAAATACACCCTTATACTATGTATAACATTAAAAGTTTAATAGTATATATGTATAACTAAAATGCTAGTCTTACCGTTAGTAGGCCTCATTCACGAAGCCGATCTATAAAGGGGGTATAAGGTTATGGCCTATAAAATGGTCGTTTAATGGGTGTCCACTCTCACCCACCGCTTCTTTGATTGGTGGAGGGTTGTTAGCCGAATGGGTAGGATAGGGAAACCCTTTCCATTAAAAGTATAATGAAGTACAAACTAACTAAAAGTTTTACAAAATTCCCAATCTTAGTTACTTTAGGCAAAAGTGAATCGATGCAATTCCATCAAATTACACTTTGTGCCATTGTAAAGACGTTAGTGGAGCGTGTGTGGTTAACCGACACACTAAATGGTTCTAACCAAAGGTAGAAAAGGGTGACTCGATGTTTTTCATACTTTGATGGAGCGTGTGTGGTTAACCGGCACATCGAATAGGTGACTGTAGCATGTGGGGGCACCATGTAAGTTTTCCTGGTTATTCACACCCGCTTTGTGATCCTCAGTATCCCAGTCACAAACTAGAGGGGCATATCGATTTAAACATGCCATTGAAAAGTTCAATGAATCTCAAAGGATCTAGGAGTTTTCATAGATTTAAAACTTAAATTTCTTTTTTATTTTTCATGGTGGAAATTGGTAAATCATCATTTACCTACCTTCAAATATTCTGCAACTAGATTACCGCATCCCTTTTCAAGGTTGTAGCCTATTGTGTTGGGTCCTAGCATTAATATCTCATTTGGGTGATTTATTAAGGACTTAATCAATCAACTAACTTGAATTTAGTTTCTCCCGTTTTGTAGATGTCAAAGTACGACAACTATAGTATTCCCAAATCCCATGGAACAAGCTTTCCACATGAAGATGATATTCCACGATTCGATCGAGGAACAAGAGATCATGCTTTACTTCCTCCACCTCCTCTAATTATTCTTCCTAACCCACAAGTTCAAAGGCTTGAAAAGTTCAAGCTCACTCAAGCCCTTTTGGCAAGTAAACATGGGAAACCTGTGTGTGTACATGTCTTAGAGATGAAGTCACACATTGAAAGGTTAAGGATGTTGGGTGTTGAGATTTATAACAAGTTGGCTATTGACTGGGTTCTTCAGTCGTTTCCTGAATCATATAGTGAGTTCGCAAGAGAGTACTATATGATGGATCATGATGTGACCCCCACTAATTTGACCTATTTGCTTATAGCTGCTGAATTAGAACTGATTTGGTGAGCTGGTCTAGCAATTTTGTCTGGTAAATCAAACTCCGAAACATCAATGGATGTTGAAAATGGTGACCTTGGAGATCCAGAAAAGATAGATTCTGAGATAGTTCCATGTGCCATTCCAAAGGAATCCATTTGCTTTTATTGCCAAGAGAAGGGGCATTGGAGATGAAGCTTCCCTATTTACCTAAGAGATCTAAGAGATGGGAGAGTCAAAACGTATGGCTCTAATTTAGGTAAAATCCATTAAATAACTCTTTTAAGTTCCTATTCTAGATTCTTAATACATGATGTGATAAGATTACATTTGATGTTTTGTAGAATCGA